TTTTTTTTGCGGGGGGTGGCAGTACTGGGAATGAAACTCGGGACCGTGCGCTTGCCAGGCAGGCACTTACGCCACTGAGCTGCATCCTCGGCCCTCTTGTTGATTTCAAGGATAAAAATGCACTATACATTTGGGCTCTGTTATTAAATAAAGCCAGTGCACAGATCTAAATATGGAGACTAGAATATGCAGAACGTTACATAAATGTGGCCCCAAATTGCTTTGGCTTGAATAAATAAAATCATAAATACTTAACTTTTCAATCTTGTTCTTAAATACTCTGACTGCAAGCAATGACATTTCGAACAAACTGCACTGAGATTGAGGTCGGTGTATACCTCTCACTAGCCCAAGGGGTTAGAAGGAAGAGAAGAGGGGTAAGAAGGCTGCAAGATTCCCTGCTTATTTTCTATTTCTGGAAAATAACAGGTTTATTTTGGTTATATTTAATAAAAATCTTCATCTAGTTTTACTTTCATCAACAAAACAAAACAGAATGCTACCCATCATTTATTCTTGCAATGAGTTTTTGAACACTTGATGAAGAGTATTTTAATTGATTCACTGCAACAAATAGGAACAAGGTTCACAAAGTTCAGGCAGAAACATAACATAGCTATCTCCCAGGGCGAGACATATTTTATAACGTAAGTATTTTAGTGTGTTCAGAAAAATGATAATGACAAAAAAGAAAATTGATAATGAAGCACTGCAAACTATTTCATCTGAAACATACAATTTAAGTTGACTTGTTGCATGAAGTGTGTTGTAGGGAAAGTTTTCAAAGCATTCCAGAATTAAAGGATTATTCAAATGAGCACAGAATGCTGACCTAAATTGTTGTAACTACATTAGCACTCACCTCTACACACACAGAAGTCAAACCCTTGCTCTTATATGTTGAATGAAAAGAAAAAATTTAAAACAACAGGCAACATTATGTTTTACAAGGAAGGCCGACTTTTCATCCAGTTCAATCACTGGATGTAACACCGATACGACAGTGGGTAGTAGAGACCGAAGTGCTGAAGCCAGCACACATGGTTTGCCACGCGGCGGTCTGAGTCCCACCGATTTCCTCCATTTGTATCACTTGATGCTCCTTGACCTTTACTTGCCATGACAAACAGCCAGATATGAAGTATTCCTGTGCCCATTTCACGTGACCCTGCAGCCATCAACGTAGTCATACCTTATTTTGCATCAACTTGATTAAACACAAAAAAGGAAATTTGGCACAAATACTACAGGGCACAAATTTAATCATAAAATCATTATCCAGGATATTCAGAAATTTTAATACTATCTTTAATATTAACATTGAACAAACACACAACCCTTAAGTGATCACAGACAATTTGTGGACTGTGAAATAGGCAGGCCCAAAATGAAAACCCCAAATGAGTAACTCAATGAAGAGGTTTGCGTATTTTTCGTAACCTACAGAAATTCCTAATAGTGTTACAAGCCACTAGGGTAAAGAAATCCAACAGAATACTATTAAGGTAGAGCTTTTTAATTTTTATTTTTAAGCTATGGCCACATTTAAATTCATTTATGAAATGTGTCTCACAACTTCTTGTAACGCATATTTATGTTTGCATATCATTTTTCACCTTCAGAAGATCTAGTGTTAAGGGAGACAGATCTTTCACACCATGAGAGGTGAACAAAAGGTGGCGGATGGGTAGAGGAAGGAAAGTGATGAAAACAGAATTAAATTACAATGTGTTCTGTACACAGGCCAACTGCTCCCAGGAATGTAACCACTGTGTACTGCAAGCATACCAACAAAAGTATGAAAGAAAACAACGAATGGAAAGTGGACTTCTTACCTTTTGCTCTCTCTGACTGCCTTGTCTCCCTTCTTCCAAGAGATGGTTGGTTTGGGAGCGCCTTGGGGTTTGCACTCTATGACGACTTCACGGTCTTTGGTAACGATTATTGTTCTCTTCAACTGATTCGGTGCAAAAGTAGGAGCTGAAGCTATTGGAAAGAAATGGTTAGCTCTACTGGAACCGTAACTATGAAATCAGATACATGAATAATTTAAATTTGGGAACTTTTTGAAACATTTCTCATAAAATCTTATATATAGAATCAACAAAAGTTCACCACTAATGGCTACCTTCTGCTTAGCTTTTCACTAGCAGAAGATGCTGTCACACACGGTGAGGCCCTCAGATGAACGTGGTGACAAGCTGCAGCTACGGCTGCCAGCTCCAGCGGGAAAGGCTGACGGCAGCTTCGGCAAAAGTGAGGGACCGACTGCAGAAGTCTACCCAGTGTTTCTTTGGAATACTTCATATTACCTCGTGGAGAAGAAAATCTGTATCCTGTTTTTCCTATCTCTGAATCTTAATTTTATAAATAATTTGTTTTAATGTTATACAACTTTGATACAGTTGTAAAAATATATTAACAAATGGAATTAGTTGAATTTCAGTTCAAAATTTTATTTCACTTGTTGTAACTATTTATTTTACTTTGATTATTCATTAAAATTAACATTGTTTTTGTTAGTTTTTTTTATAGATACTTTGATTGAAAGACATACCCAGTAATTGATTGCATCTGGGATCTTCTGCTATTTGGACCATTCACTGCATGCATATTTCAGCAATATTTTATGTTCATAATTTGTAATATAATGCATGGTACAAGAACATTAAATTTTATTTTTACTAAAGCTCAGATAATGTATTGACAAAAAATGACGGAAGTTTTGGTGAGAGTCCAGCTAGTACTTTGGTTTCTTACTAGAAATAGAATTTGTAAAAGCTAATTTTGAAAATACATATAGCGAATAAGGATGATTTCAATGTTTCTGGTTAACTATTAACTAAATGTAACCTGAATCAGTTTTTTAACTCTGAGATGTTAGGATGTAACTTAACATGAACTGATATTAATATTTGATTGCTTAGCATGTAAGAAGTGGAAGTGTAATCCTTCGATGGCCATGGATTGCTTTGGAATGTGGAGAAATTTCAGCTGAAAACAACTATAAGTGAATGCACTTATTTGCGCTATATTGTATTTAGCTCACACACAAGTGGTAGTTTTCCAGGCTTCTGAGATTGTTGACATTTCTATAAATATTAGGTTTGGGGAATTCAAGTGCGAACAGAAAGTACATTTTAACTTCTGCCTACTTCTGGTAGACAGTAAAGCTTGCTTTATATTATGGCCATCCTAGAACAAAAATGTAGGATGCTGGTTGTTTGGAAAAAGGCAACATTCGGGGCCGGGGAGATGGCTCAGTGGAATAAGCGCTTCCCTAGCAAGTGCAAGGGTATGAGTTCAATCCCCGGTTCCACCAAAAAAAAAAAGGTAACATCCACTCCAGCAGCCCAAATATGCACATTCAGGGAGTGTCTTGTACCAGACACACCCTTGTCATTGTAAGTGGGGCACTTGGGGCACTTGTGCCAGCTCCCTTCCCCAGCCCTAATGGCCTGTCAGGCCTGGCCTCTGGCTGGCTTTCTACTTTATTTGGAAGATGGTGCAGACTAATATCTCATTAGAAAAGATTTATCTTGGAGTCTTTGCATAAAATACACACACACACACACACACACACACACACACACACCTGTTTCAGGAAATAGAAAATATTTCTCTATAAGCAGGGACAGGCTGCTCGAATCCTTCTTTTTGATCATCTATACTCTCCAGGCATTCTTCCTTAATATTAACATATATTTATTTGTATAATTTAATACCAAAGAAAAGACATATAAACCATTTACGAATAAAATGAAAGAAAGCCTATATAAACAGAAAAGATACAAAGCAAACTGTATACAAAGTAAAGTGGTCTTCTAAAACTTACAAAAATTGTTAGCAAAATAGTATTGCTTTTCAAACCATAAAATCAACTTTAGAATTGCATCACAAAACTTCAGCATAGTAAGAATTCAAAAATGAGAAGAAGTAATGCTTTTTGTTGGTTTCTTTGCTTAGGCGCTGCGTACCTAGAACCTTCAGCTCGGCGCTGGCATAGATGGCTCCATGTTTATTTTCAGCCAAACACTGGTACATCCCAGAGTCTGACTGGTTTACGCTGTGGATCATCAGAACTCCATTGACCACGTGAACCCTATTCTGTAATGGAATGAAGAAGAGACACAGAAAATGACAATGAGTAAAGATTTTGTGCTTACTCCTAGGTCAAGGAAAAAGAGCCTCTAATTTCTATAATTAAACTTTCTTTGATAATGTTATAACACAAATTCACAATTTACTATTGCATCATGTATCTTATAAATCAAAACAACTCCTGGGCCAATAAAGAAAATAAAACCAATATTTTCCTCAGTCATTCATATGAGTTTTATTTTCAATTATAGTATTAATCTGAGTGGGCTTCTTTTCATAGATGCACTGAACTTTTAAAACACAATTACCAGATGATGATTTTATTGAATTCTTCTTACAAAGAGAAGCGGGAGGACAGGGTGGGAGGTGTGGACGTACTACAGTGTCAAGGTAAAAGCTGCCGAGGTCTTAGGGTCTGTCGTTTTACTCCACTGATGTGTCCAGGAGTTCATCTTTTAGTCTTCCTTACCAACACACTAACACAGAGAGAATACTGCCCTGCGAGGGATTGTGTACTAAATTATTGCTTAGAAAATTCAAACTTCATTATTAGAAAAACTTAATACAGATGACCAATGACTGAATGAAAACTAGACTAAATGGAGGCCAAAACTGCATCTCTAAAACCAATGACCCTTCTCCAAAGCAGTGAAAACGGAAAGCAAGTACAAGAAAATTGTGTTCATCTTTAGCTGTCAGAAAAACACAAAGGAAAAGGGTTCTGGGACTCTGTTTTACTCCAGTCAGAATGGCTGCCATGGCTACACACATGCACACACGCATATGCACACACACACACACACACACACACACACACACGCACGCACGCACACACACCCCAACACAGTAACAAGAAGGATTTGAGGAAAAATGAAGACTTTTGCACTGTTGGTGGGCCTGTACACCACTAGGAAGTGCAACCACTAGGAAGATCAGTGTGGGGATTCCTGAAAAAACTAAAAATATAAATAATTCTACTGTGGCTTTTTGCTGGACCATGAAGCAGTTAATGCTTGTTTTGTTTTCATTTGTTCCTCTTTTTCACTTCTTAAATTCTGATAAGATTTTTCCTTCATTTTCTAATTTTGCATGCATAGATTTGATAATCTAAACAGTGAAGTTGAAGACAATACTATGCAGTACAACAAATACTAGCAAATTCATATAATTTCATTTAGTAAAATTCTGTATCATTTTAAATTTTTTACTATTATTTTGCAATCTCTTTAAAAAATTAAAAAAGAAATTTCAAGGGCCGGTGAGATAGCTCAGTGGACTAAACGCATGCTTGAGCAAGCACAGGGACCATGGTTTGATTCCCGGTCCTGCATGCCACACTGGCCCTGCCTTGGGGTGCACTGAGCCAACGACAGAGGCCAGGTGTGGTGGCACAGCCCTGTAATCCCAGCGCTGGGGTGGCTGCAAACAGAAGGCTCACTGTGGGTCTGAGCTGTGTAGTAAGACCTTGCACCAAATATATAAAATGAAAAAAATTACAAATAAAAAAAGCAATTTCATTTGAGCCAGCTACTCTTCTACTGAGAACGTCGCAGAAGAGTCATGTCAGAGTGCTAGCGTGACGCATACACAGCCATGCCTATAGCACCAGGTAAAGAGCCCTGCAGATGCGCTGCTTCCCGCGGCAAGTGAGTGGGTAAGGAGGCCGTGCTACGTGTCGGCAACGGAATCTTTATTAGACCATACAGAGGAAGGAATTTATGTCCTATGCAGGAAAGTGGATGGGTTCTGGGCTCACAACTTCGAGGAAAGGAAGGCAGACAGGGAAAGTTAAGTATTGCGTGGCTTCTTTAACATGAGAAACGCAAAACATAAACAGAGCATAAAGAAAGATGAGACGGTAGAGAACAGAGAAGCAGATATTCTGGATTTGGGGAAAGGGTGGGCAGACAGAAGAAAGGGGACAGAGGATAAAAAAATGCTATCCCTTCCCCAACACAAGGGTAAGTAATGTGGGTCACACATACACTAAACAACCAAGTTTCTGCCCTGCATCCTATCAAGCAAAGT